TTTGCAGACTCTGGATTCCTGGGTATGTAGAGATAGCCCGTCCACTGTATGAAGCCACCAAAGACGGGCCCGACTGGAAATGGAGCCAAGAGCACAAGAGGCATTTGACCGATTGAAAGAAGCACTCCTTCAGGCCCCAGCCCTGTCTCTGCCGGACCCAGAGAAACCTTTCGCCCTTTTCATAGATGAAAGGAAGGGAGTCGCTAAAGGGGTCTTGGCCCAGCAGTTGGGTCCATGGAAAAGACCGGTGGCTTATTTATCTAAGCGACTGGACCCTGTGGCCTCAGGATGGCCATCCTGCCTACGCATCCTGGCAGCCATCGCCCTGTTGGTCAAGGAAGCCGACAAGCTGACATTTGGACAAGACTTGAAGGTAACAGCACCACATACGGTGGAGGGAATCCTCTGACACCCTCCCGGGAAGTGGATGACGAATGCCCGACTCACCCATTATCAGGGGCTTTTATTAGACTCGTCCCGAATTACCTTCTCGGCCCCAGTAACTTTAAATCCAGCCACACTCTTGCCAGACCCAGACCTGTCCGCCCTGGCCCATGATTGTAGAGATGTCCTATCTGAAGTCTGCCAGACTCGGATAGATCTGAGGGACACAAGGGTACCAAACAGTGAGCTGGATTGGTACACTGATGGAAGCAGCTTTGTGAAGGATGGAGTCAGAAGAGCAGGGGCAGCGGTGGTAACACAAGAAGGAGACGTCATCTAGAGTGCTGCCCTACCTCCAGGTACCTCTGCGCAAAAAGCCAAACTCATTGCCCTTGCAGAGGCCCTAGAAAGGGCGGAAGGCAAGTGAGCTAAAATCTGCACGGACAGTAGATATGCCTTTGGCACAGTGCACGTTCACGGTGCCATCTACCGAGAGAGAGGGTTCCAGTCTGCTGAAGGAAAAGAACTAAAGAACTTACAGGAAGTCCAGAGACTATTGAGAGCTATAGAAAAACCCAGGGCAGTGGCAGTCATACACGTGCCTGGACACCAAGTCAAGAAGACTCCTGAGGCCATTGGTAACAACCTTGCAGACACGGAAGCCAAAAGAGTGGCCCTCTCCAGTCCTGGAGATCCAGTTGTACTAGCCGCCCTAGAGGTACCGATACCAGAACTGCCTACTCTGCCCCCCAAACCTGATTATTCTCCACAGGATCTAGAGTGGATAAAGAAGCGAGCACCGGAGGGGAGGACTGGGGAAGGAGGTTGGAGCCGGGACCAGGAAGGCAGGTTGATTCTACCAGAAATATTAGGGAAATACATGTTAACTAATTTACACAGATCTACCCACTTAGGTTGGAAGAAGTTGCTTACTCTTTTCCAAAATGCACAGCTGGTTTTCCCACATCAGACTAAAGCAGCAAGACTGATCACGGGAAGTTGCAACAGCTGTGCGAAACTTAGACCAGCCCCAAAGGAGCTCCACCCAACTGGTAGCCGGGAGAGGGGGAGGGCACCGGGAAGGTATTGGGAGATAGACTTCACTGAGGTAAAGCCAGGTAAATTTGGTTATAAGTACTTGTTAGTAATGGTGGATACCTTCTCAGGATGGGTAGAGGGCTTTCCCACTAAAAATGAAACTAGCCAGGTAGTAGCAAAAAAGCTAATTGAGGAAATAATTCCCAGGTATGGAGTCCCTGAAGTCATAGGTTCTGATAACGGCCCGGCTTTCGTTAGCAAAGTCCTGCAAGGACTAGCCCAGACTCTGGGAACAGATTGGAAATTACATTGTGCTTATAACCCACAGAGTTCTGGGCAGGTAGAGAGGATGAATCGGACTTTGAAGGAGACCCTTTCTAAATTGGTCCTTGACACTGGTGGTGACTGGGTGACTCTCCTTCCCTTAGCCATTTTCCGTGTCAGGAATTCCCCCTATGTGCATGGACTGACTCCCTTCGAGATAATGTTTGGAGCCCCGCCACCGATAACCAGGCGGGCGTTGCCCCCGGGGGAAGAAGGATCAGCACCTGACTACCTGAGTGTATTACAATCTCTCACTAAAGTACAGCAGGAAATTTGGCCCCTAATCAGAGCTTACTATGGAGAAAGAAAGGTGCTTAATATAGAGCATGGTATCTCCCCGGGGGACACAGTCTGGGTAAAAAGACACAGAGTAAAGACCCTTGAACCTAGGTGGAAGGGACCTCATGTTGTGTTGTCTGTTACTCCCACTGCCTTGAAGGTTGACGGTATTGCTTCTTGGGTACATCACACCCACGTTCGTAAAGCATCACCTCACCAAGACTCAGAGCTCGACATAAAGACGTGGAAAGTGTGGAAAGATCCAAACAACCCTCTAAAGATACGGCTGAGTCGAACTTAAGAGGATTTCCACCCTGTGCTATCCCAGGACCTGCCAGCATCCCCACTGCCTTCGAAACCCCCTTATGAAGCTTTCCACTCAGACTGGATGGGTGAGGATGTTGCTGGTAATATATTATCTAGCAACTAACTGCGGACATTTTGCAGATGGGACCACCCACACATACCAGTACAAGTTATTTGGGTTGTCACTAACTTGGAAACTGGGTCCCCAGTGTTAATGCAGTCGGCCGTGTATCCCCCCAATACCTTGTGGCCACCTTTAGATATAGACCTCTGTACTTTGGTAGATGGGGCCTGGGACCGGGAATGGGCAGCGATTACCCGAGATGTGGAAGACTCCTCCCACGGATACAATTGCAAGTTTGAATCGGGAGTTCGCTACCTTAGACAAAAACAATTCTATGTTTGCCCAGGGCCACAGTATAAGCCCAGTTGTGGGAGACCAGACCAGTACTACTGCCCACGATGGGGCTGTGAGACCACGGGTCAGACATACTGGTTAAGTAATGCCCGTGGGGACTACATCACCCTCAAACGAGATGTGACAGGCCCCCCTTGTAAGCCAACTTGGGGGCTCGAACCACAAGCCTGCAACCCTTTGCTTATCAGATTCACAGAAAAAGGAAAAAAGTTCTCCAGATGGGAAGGGGTTAATACATGGGGCCTGCGATTGCATAACTATGGGTCTGCAATTTTGTTTACAATCACTAGACGCCAGGTGCCTTTCGTCACCGCAGTAGGGCCCAACCCAGTGCTAGTCCCAAGAGTTACCATGGATACGCCCAAGGGAGCCCCTCCCTCTCCTCCTCCTGGCCCAACTCTACCTACAGGATTTACCAAAAGGCCTCCTAAGCCTTTGTCTCAGATCCGCTATTACAGGCGGTCACAGGAATTTGTTAAAATCATAAATCAAACTTATAGCCTCTTAAATGCAACTAGCCCTGAATTGGCCAGATCTTGTTGGCTCTGCTATACTGTTACCCCTCCCTATTTAGAGGGGATTGCTACTATGGGTTCCTACAACGTTTCCCATAATGTCTCCCAATGTGCATGGGGTACGATACCTAAAATTACTTTGGAGCAGATTTCAGGATCGGGACTATGCCTCGGTGAGATTCCACTACAATACTCTTCCCTCTGTAACCAGACCAAGAATCTCTCTAAGTCAAAAGGGGCCTTCCTTATTCCCCCTCCAAATACTTGGTGGGCATGCTCCTCAGGATTAACCCCTTGTATTTCGGTGGATGTTCTTAAGGAAGGAGGTTTTTGTGTTCTTACAATTCTTCTTCCCCATTTGGTTTATCACTCAGAGGAAGAGTTTCTGCACACTTACACTCCCTCTCTTCCTTTCCCGATGTGTTCTAGGAGAACCCCAGTGATTTTAGCCGTGACACTTGCAACCTTAATTAGTACAGGTGTAGCAGCAGGAGTTGGCACTGGAGCCACTGCCCTGATACAAGGGAGGGACCAATATAATGCTTTGCGCACTAGCCTGGATTTAGATCTACAAAGAATAGAAGAATCCATAACCAAACTGCAGGACTCTATAGGATCCCTGGCTGAAATCACGTTACAGAATCGCAGAGGGCTGAACCTCCTGTTTCTACAGCAAGGGGGACTGTGTATTGCCCTGAAGGAGGAATGTTGTTTTTACAGAGACCATTCAGGTATAATAAAGGATAACATGGCAAAGATACGAGAGGGATTAGAGAAACGAAAGATGGAAAGGGAAGCCAGTCAAGGGTGGTTCAGCTCTTGGCTTAATCAAACTCCTTGGGTGTCAACCCTTCTCTCCACTGTTGTAGGGCCCTTGATTATCCTCCTCTTGCTTGTCACGATTGGGCCCTGTATAGTAAACAGACGGCTGAGGTTTGTCCAAGAAAGAATAGACTCGGTTCATCTCCTGGTGCTGCGGCAGAAGCACCAGGTTGTAGAGTCAGCTGAGGAAGATTCCTCAGTTTAACCAAGACAAGGGGGGGATGTTGGGAAAAAAAATGAAATACCTTGATGAATGCTGTAAGAACTCTGCATTTTGATAGAAAACTCTGTTTAAAATGTTGATTTAGATTTACTTGCTAAGCTTGCCTGTTCTGCCTGATTTGTATCTACCACACATGGATGATTAACCTAGTTGAAATGCTAAGAATTGAAGTGCTGTAAACCTCCTTCCTGGACCCTGGACCCCAGACTCAGTTGATTTACAATGTGTCCTGTAGGCCTGTTTGCACATACCAGATAACCGATAAGGAACAAAGAGAAGGAAGTTGCACCAGGCTTACACCAGATCTAGCCTTCCTGGAAAAGATGTTTAACCGAAACTATAGCTTTTAGAAGATGTTTGATCAAAGTGTATGCTGAGGAATGCTTTTTGTGTAATGACTATGTGAGCCTATATAATCTGTGCCTAAAACTGAATGGGGGTCGATCGTTCTGACCAGACTTGTATGTCTTGGGAAATCAGTCGACCCCAGCTAGCTGGAAAGTAAAGACTCTGCTTGATTTTTACATCTCCAATCCCATGTATTTGTTACCTGGAGGGGACCCATCGAGTCACGGACCCTAACAGAGGACAATACATTCATGCACATAAAAGTAGTCTTTTCTGCTGCATCACCAAGCTGCTTTTGGAAACAAAGCCTTACGCAGAGTGGGGAGACAAGTAAAATGACTAGGGAAATGGTAACTCTATCAACTGCACAGACCTAGCAAGGCTAGACAGCCACCAATTCCACCAATTCTTCTCTTTCCAATCAGTCATCCAGGAGGCTTCCTCATCCATCCACCCACTCATCCGTCTACCTACCCACCCATCTGTTTACCCATCCATCTGGCCATCTATCCTCTTCATTTTAAAAGTGAGGAAACAGACCCAGAGAAATCAGGATGCATGCCCCAAATCACACAGCTAGTTAGTAGCAGAGTCAGGGCTAGAACTAAGCAGATCTCCAGTCTTCTGGCTCTCAGTACAGACACTATGGCCTACAACTTCTGTGCGTATTTGGGTAGGCTTGCTGATAAGCTTTTCCTTGTGTTTTCTGTTAGTTCATGCCACTTCTCTGTGTTTTAGAAGTAGCTTCATGTTTTATGCTTATTGCCTGAGTGAAAGAAAAGGAGAAAACAAAGTCTTCCCGGGGAAAGCAGGACACCAAACAAATCTCTTGTTGGGAGATGGAAAGGACTGTTCATACAAACAGCTTTACTGACCCCACTTCAGCATGGCAGGGGTGCCCATCTGAACTCATGGGATTGTGAGAAACACTATTCCAACCAGTGGGACTGATTTTCTACCAGGCTGTCTTCTAGAGCCAGAACCCAGCACTGGGGCCAATCCTATAGGATACTCCTGTAAGTGGGAGGTCTAGGCCCCACAAGCATCTGGTAGATCTTCATATGGAAGAGGGGAGAAGAAAGGAGAAGAGAAGCGGGGAGGGAGTCCATACAGACACCACAGGTGGACTTACAAAGGTTCAAAGAAGATACTTCAGTGGGCCTGATCCCATGCTTACAGATGGATGGATGGAAGGAAGGTTAAAGGATAGATGGATCGGAGGAAGGAAAGAGAGAAGACAGGAGGGAGCGAGGGAGGGAAAGAGGGAGGGAGGGAGGGAGGTCAGATGACCTTATCTAGGTATACAGGCAATACTAGGCAATACTGCACCAGACCATAGCAGTGGCTTGGAGACAGTCAGTACAATCTTGAGGCCTCTGAGCATAAAAGATATGTGATGACATAAATGTAAGGTTTTACCACTCAGGAACTAAAGGTTCCTCAAGCTAGGGGTGTGGGGCTTTGAAGGCAGAGTCAGAGGGAAAGAAAGAAGGCTGGGGTGCTCTGGGCCTTAAGTTCTGCTCAGGCAAGTGGAAAGGAGGTGAAGGAATGGCACAAGCTTACGGCAGAGGAGGTGGTCCTCCTGGGCCTACCAGGGCTCGGTCATTCCCACTTCCCCTGCCTCTGGTTCCACCATGGCTGCTGGACTGAGACAGCCTCTGAGAAGCCCTCTGTCTGCATCCATGCCCTCTTCACTTCTCTCCCATGCCTTTTCCACTCTGGGAGCACAAGGAATGTGCCAGTGCACAGGAGAGAGCAGAGAGCAGGCTGGGAAGGCTCTCACAGCAGAGGTCGGGGTGTTGATGTAACCACATGCAGAAAAAAATGGCCCTCCCCTGAACACACATATTTTAGGACTGTCTGAATCCTGAGGTAGAGATAAAACCTTAAAGAGAGGAGATCCCCAATTTAAGGAGAAGTTAGGTTTTTACATTTGGGTGAATGAGGGCTCAAAAGAGAAAATACGTTGTTACCAAAAATTAGGGGATTTCAAAACTATACTTTCGCATACTTCAAATTCTGATTTTGTTCTATAGCTGCTACAGGAGGCTCAAATGAAAAGTAACAGCTAAAATTTTGGAGCATATGGACAGAAAAGGGTGTTAGGAAGCTGTTTTGTCTTTGACACTGTGGTGATGGTGGGACAGTGGAAAATGGGTACAGGGACTTCTTGGGGTGCTGTTTGAAGCTTGGGGCTCTCAGTCCTGGTCTCTTGCATCTCCTACAGGTCCATGTTGTTCTTGAGGCCACAGAGGAGGAACCAACCTTGCAACACGAACAAACTCTGTCTTGTCCCCCCAACTCTACAAAAGAATACAAAAGTAGTTCCTACGGCTGGAGAGAGGGCTCAATTGAGTAATGCTCACTGTGCACGCATGAAGACCTTTGTTCAGATCCCCAGCACCCATATAAAAAGTTGGGCATTGTGGCTCATTCCAGAAATCCCAATGCTGGAATGGAGTAGGAGGGTCCCAAGGGCTCAATGGCTAGTCAGTCTAGCCCATCAGTGAGCTCCAGGTTCAGTAATAGACTGTGTCTCTAAAAATAAAGAGCAATAGAGGAAGATGCTCAGTGTCAACCTGTGGTCTCCACATGCATGCGCAGGCAAGCACATGTACACACATGCATACCACATACACACGCACACACACACG